CTACCCCCTGTTCTGCAATCCCCTTGGAAGTTATTGGAGCCAAAAAAAAAAAAAAAAAAACACAAGCCTCTGATGCATCTATTTTAGCCTAGAAAGAACAGAGAACACATCTGCTGCTTGAAGCACTGCCTTGTGAGTTGTGACCCACTAATGAAACACAGACAGGTCAATAGTGGAAATAAATTCATAATATCACCCAAACTGTTTCATTGGGGTCTGAAGGGAATCACAGCAGATGTGAATTCAGACTTCTTAAACTCTGAACAAGTGAATCCAAATTAACTACACTTGATGATTTTGTTAAGGGCTGCTGGACCAATGAAAACACTTAACATCATTTTGGAATTTTGAATGGTTGTGGGGCATATCTATTTGATGATTGACATGGGGCATTATTATTGGTCAAACAGTCCCTAATGCAGCCACCAATCACAGCTAATCCGGACTTGAACAGAGATGCCAGCTAGCTTTCTGGTAAGGTTTCTAGAGGGTTGTAGTAAAGACTCAAGATCAAATTCCGCCTTCCAGAAGAAAAAGCAAGATCCAGTCTTTCGGGGTTGGGGGAGAGCTATCCATTAGCTTGGATGGCCAATTTAATTTTCATGTATGATGCAAATTTACAAACGTAATGTTGCTCTAACTTTTACAAACAACATTGCATGCGTACGGGTATGGCACAAAACTGACAATAGTTTTTGTTCTGCAACTGTCTTCTCAGTTCTAATTAGTTTTTTTAGGATTAAAAAATTCCTCCTAATTTGTACTTTTTAAATTTTATTTTGGAAATTATATATCGTTAACTTATAAATTAAAAATATAATTAACATAGAAATAATGTTATAAAACTTGGATCGGATGACAGACAGACTGTGGAAATTGAGAATTGGTAAACATTGAGGGTCCTGTTAAATAACAGTTTTTAGGAGTTGAACACACTAATTGCCCAATTAACTGATAAAACCATGACCCATTCAACATTCTGGTTTTTAATCCAGTCCGAGTCTATAGAAATAGTATAGATTCATAAAATTTCAAGATAGATATTATTATATTGAAGAAATATAAATATGATATCCGAAAAATTTTATGTCCAATCTAAACCAATCAGGAGGATTTTATTAAGAGTCTGTTTGGTTCATAGGAATAGGAGTTTGGAATCAGAATCGGAATGAATCACTTTGATTCCAACTGTTTAGTTGGATAGAATCGAAATCTCATTCCCATTTTTTGTGGAATGAAATTTCCTCATTTGAGAAAATGGTCATTCCCTCCTCCTCCCTTGGGAATGAAATCCCATTCCAACTTATTTCAATTTCTGTTCCGATTTCTACGTGAACCAAACAAACTATGGAAATCATTCTGATTCCAATTCCAGAGGATTTTGATTCAGATTCCAACCATAAACCAAATGAACCTAAAATTTAATAGTAGATTTTAATTGGTCAAAACTCTTCTAGTACCATGTCTTTCCTGTATCGTTAGAAAATAATTAAAGTGGTAATGGTAAAAATAAATTTTAGGGAAAATTTTACTTTAGTACCCTGAATTTTGGGAGTAGTGTCAAGCCAGTATCCGAACTTTTTAACGTGTCCCTGCAATACTTAAACTTTCAAAAAGTGTCAAATTGGTCCCTGCCCTTAATTGACCGTCAGTTATCTATTGAAAGTGTCAAAACTACCCTTTAAAAGAAGACACTATTCATTGTCCTCTACCTTAAGATTGAACCGGTTGAGGTGTTTGAGATTCTAGACTAATGAAGTTATTGTATTCTACCCTTGGAACTAAAACACACTCTTGTCTAATTATTTTTTTGCTTTCAATTATTGTTACCCTCTATTATATTTCATGTTTTTCTCATTTTCTTTGAAGATAACCGGTTCAGTCTTAAGGTAGAAGACACTGTATAATATTTTCATTTTTGATATTTTCAACAGATAATTAATGGTCAGTTAGCGGTAGAGACCAATTTAACACTTTTTAAAAGTTTAGATACTGTATTTAAAAAGTTCAAATACTAACTTAACACTACCCTAAAATTCAGGGTACTAAAGTAGAACTTTCCCTAAATTTTTAGGGATCGAATATATGTATGCCGTATGGGGCATGTGGCCTTTGGACAAAACTAACGGATCGGGTCTAACATGAAAGCTAAGCGGAAATTTTTGTTAAATTTGTGTTTGTTCAAGAAAAACAAAAAGTATGAAAACAAAATAACATGGTTACAACTTCCAAGTCCAAGGACCCCTCGGCCCTCACCCACCCACCAAAAATCGAATACCCAATCTCTACAAGTACAACCCACAGAGAAAAGAAAAAAAAAATGTGTATTTTTTTTTTAACTCTTGCAAGAACTTAAAAAAGTAGTCTTCACATATAAACAAATTAGTTGCATAGAAAACCACAAAAATAATTAATAATGTAGTAATCGAGATGGGTGTTATCTTTAATTTGTCAATTTAAGCAGCTGTCGGTAAACGATTTTTCTTTGCATTTTGATTTGTCATTTAAGCAACTATTTGGTATACTTCTTGACCCAAGTAATTATTATGACCCGACCGGCCCGACCCTACAGAAGCCCACCCCATTGTGTTGTAAGTCAAGTTATGTTTGGTATCTTTCATCTCAAACCGGGTAGGAGTAGGACGAAGACCTAACCAAATGCCTAAGCAACCAGACCTACCTGAAGATATTATACTTTGCAATGCAGAAGCAGGATTTCAGAAAAGTGTGGCTATGCTCCAAATTCTACAAAGTTGGCAGACTTTGGTACTTGGAACAGGGAAAATGACTTTAGCTCTCTGAGTGTTCAATTTTTCATATGCAATTTCTATGTGCTAATCTTTTAAGCTATGTTTCAGCTTTTCTTTTCCACAAAAAGCCATCTAAGTCAGGTCAATTAGGATTGCAAACGGTATCTTTTTGTCCAAATTTGTATTCGAATCCAATCCGGTGTTATACAATGTCAATGCCATTTTTTGTTGTTTTATTGATAATATACGATAATTTAATTTAATTATTAATAGATTTCAATATCCAAAATCGATCTGAGTCCAATGAATATGATTCAATTTAAATGAATCAAATTTGGATCTAAGTTTATTTGATTCGTTACGATCTGTTTACACTTTATAGTAACCAAAATTTTTTTGTCAGATGAACTGTTCATTCGAATCAATAGTTGAACTGTCAACCTGAAAACCAGTGGTTAGACGGATTCCGATTTCGAATTGATTTTAAAAACATTGATGACAATATACATGTATGTAAGATGTTCTTTGAAGTTATAGTATGAGGAGCAAATCTGAACTCTTTCAATTAAGCTTTGTTTTGGGATTGGCAACCCAATATGACTGAATAATTAGAATTGTAGTCAAATTTCCAAAATTACAGTGTACAAATCTCGGAGCAGGATTACAAACAAAATCTAGAATTATCCTAAATTATAACAATATTGTACATAAAATCTGAATCAGTATCACCATTACCATCACCATCATCTAAGCCTTAAGCCTTGTTCCAATTACATGAGTTCTGATTTCACCGTTCTGTATTTTTCGGTGCTATATCCATTTTCAATAATTTCTTACTGATTCGATTTAACCTTCAACTTGCAACTGATCGCTTCTTCTTAAAGATACTGCGTATTGCTTTTTCAATTTATATATGAACCAAACACCTCAAATCAAGAATACCATCTCCAACAAACCATTGAATTTAAGCCCCACAGGTTAAAATTCTTACCTTTCAATGTGTATCGTTGAAGCAATTAAGGATTTGCATGGTGCCCAAGAGCTTTATTTTGTATATTGGTAAATTACTGATAAAGTTGAATTTGAAACCAAAACAACCAATCAGGGGAGGGGAATCAATCCAAAGCGTTTTGTGTGGATTTTCCTTGGTTAGAAACTTCTACCCGCCATCGCCAGGTCCCTTTTTATTTACCTAACCATGGTTAGAATTTCTGTCATGACTCACCTCCTATCCCCAGTCCGAGCTGTGACTGTACTGCGTATTATTAGTCACAGTTCCATGCCGAAAGCTGTCATGTGCATGGGGTTAGAGAGGAAGCCAGACTGCTGGGTTTTTACTTTTTAGTTGAATTTTTTTTTTTAAAGTGATTCTAAGATATCGAGAAATAATAATAAATAATTACCATGTAAATCTGATTATGTATAATAATGAGAAATAAGGACTGGAAATATAAGTGATAGGGGCCTCTATCACTAATACAGATTACACAGTATATGCTTTCCAACTAAGAATACCACATATAATATAAGTCAAAGTTGAACCCTTCACATGATTACTACTACCATTCTCTCTCTGGCCCATGGAAATATGGGTTGGAGTTGGAATGCAGCATGCTTAGGTACGACTGCTTTGATCAGATGCTCCTTATTATTTTTGGGCTTTCTATACACACTTATCTAATTTGATCCAGGACTCTAATAATGGTGGGACCCATCAAATATTGGCCATTCTCCATTACCCACAAACCCAAATTCTCAAAGTCTCATCTATAACTATAACTATAATGGCAGAGTTGAACTTCACTCCATAATCCACGCTACCAGTGCAGTGCGTCCAAGACTCCTCTAGAAGGCCACGTTTGTGGTTTTACATTGGCCTAAAAGTCGGTCAAAAGAAAAAAAAAAAAAAAATCATTTGATATCGAAATAGTCTGTTCAGAAAATGTAAGAAAAACCCTCTCGAGTCTCGAGTTCTTCTCTTTTACAAATTAGCCAAATATTAAAATAGTGTTTTTTCAAAGGTCCTTTTAAAAATGGCTTTTTTAGAAGTCTGTTTAGGCCAAAATGTACTCCCAAACACGACCTAAATAATCTTATAAACTTCTAATCAAGAAGAAATTTAAAAATCCACCCATGACCCCACCGAAAGAAAAAACAATGAGAAGRAAAARMARAAAAAAAAAAAAAAAAAATGAAGAGGAAGAGACGGTCATGGATTATAKAAAGMAAATWCAGGATCAGTTTGAAACGACTTTCTTTCAAAATAAAACGCAACTATCTGAAGTTATATACAAAGCTTAAGTGACGCCTCCCTATATTCTCTCTCACACAAACTAATCGGACACCGAACACTCTCCACTGTTCTCCTCCACTCTCTCTCTCCTCTTTCTCTCTCTCTACTTTACTTCAATTATGGTGGTCGTTGTTGCAGAAAACCCAACAACAGCAGAGCAGATTAGATTCAGGAGACCCAAGAACCAACCCATTACAGCTCCAGATCCAACCCCACAAATCTCTTCTACCAATCAGTGCACTCGCGGTAAAACCTCCATTTCTTCTCTATTCCTGTCCACATTCACCTCCAACAATAACAGCAAGAAGAAGGGTTCCGACATGTCTTCGGCATTGAAGGATAAAAAGAAGAGCTTTACATCTGCGACATTCAGAGGTCTTGGATGCACATCCACTTCACAGGTATCGGCACCGGAGGCTATTCGGTCTTCGGCAGATTGGCAAGCGAAGAAGGTGAGGAAAAAGAAGCAGAGGAACACACAGAGGAAGAAAAGCCATCATGTCACGGAGACAACGTCTATGGGGAATCCAACTCCTGTTGTAGTTGTCCCTGATGTTTGGTGCTCTCCTGGGATCGGTTTCGCAGCCGATGCTGCGCCAATTGATTGTGTTGTGTCGAGACGTCCTGTAGCGGGTAGAGGGAGGATTGATGGCGAGAGGATAAATCACAGAGAGGTGTGCCTTCTGTTTATGTTATTCGTGGCTTTTGTTCATATTGGGTTTTCTTTTCTTCCGCATTTCTTTATCTTTTTTTTTTTCTCTTGTTTTCTTTTATTTTTTATTGGTTTAAATGTTTTCAGGAGATGATATGCTTTCTGTTTTTTCTTTTTGGTAAATATTAGTAGAAACAATTAGGAACGTGCTGTTCATCTTTTTCTTCCGTTCTTTTTTATTTTCCTTGTTACTTTCGGCGGATGGTTCGTATTTTCCATGGAAGAGTATGTTGATATTCTGGAAATTTTAAAATTTGAATTGGGTTTTTGGGGTTTCTTGAGATTCATGATCTTGTTTTCTGGTTGAAGTAGTTTTCTGGGATCTTCATTTTGGTGTCTTTTTATTTCCTTCTGATTCTCACGTAAGATTTACTTATTAGATAGATTACCAGTTTGAGTTTCTACATCTTTATTCAAAATGGGTTCTTGCTTGTTGGAATGATTTTCAATCATCCAGTTCTCTGGGACCTTTACTCTCTTTTCTCCCTTTATGTCATGGAGTGCTCATGAGGATCTGGCTTTCCTTCTTTCTTTCCCCGTGAAGTTAGTTCTAATTTTCTGAAGTTCTTGTGTTTGGGTATCCTATTTATTTGTTACTCTTCTTTTTAACTTTGTCCTTAAGGTAATTCCTCAAATCTAAATGCAAAAGTGGCACAAAAAGTCCCATAGAGACGAGAATGCCTGGTGCTAACAGTTACTAGAGGTGGTCCAACTAGAATTTAGAACGACATCCCTCCCCAGAAAAGCATCTGTAAGGACTTACATATCTGAGTTCTTTTTCCTTACCCGAAGAAAGAAAAAAAAGGGAAAAGAGGAAAAAATGTTTGAGCTCCTTTCTTATAGTGGACTAATGTATTAGTAGCTATTTCATCTTGTTTCTCAATCACCTCCAAGATAACTTGGTCTTGGACAAGTCTTGGATCATGCAGCTATTCCTTTCCTTTGGTTTTCAGAGATTTGTGGAACTAACTTCATGCACGTGCCATGTAATTAAGTATATGCAAATGTTACAAGCATGTTCGTGCTTATATATACTTTCATGAAGGAAATATTCTGAGACTTTTATTTGGTGTCTTTGACAGCGTCCTTGTAATGCAAGGCGAACTGCGCCCCTTGAGCAAATAACTGTACTGGATTCTCCACCCACCTTTGAAATGAGATCTGGATCCGATGTATTTGGAGCTAGACACTATCGGCATTTTCGATATCGTTCTCCAGGAGGGCTTACAGAGGTGTGCTAACGTTCCTTTCTGATTAGTAATTATTGTTTAAACATAATTTCTTTCATGGCAATTGAACAGATTTCCTGTGTTAATTATGTTTAAAAGATTTACTTTTTTTAATGGTCAGTGCTCAAGACATGGTTTGGATTTTCTAGGTCTAAAGGTTTTCAAGAGTGAAGTTTTCAGTCATGTTGGTCCCCTTGGACCAAAACAAGATTTTGTTATTTCAGCATCCAAAAATAGAATAATGTTTTTTTGAATATATGAGTACCTTAAATAAATACCATTGAAAACAATTAAAACCTATTAAAAATGAAATTTATTATTGAAATTTTGGTTGTACCAAAATATTTTTGAAAGGTAACATCTCAAAATATTCCAACATATCCCAAAATCTCTGCCACCTGAAATAAATCTGTATGAAATATTCATTTTTAGCATTTCTGTATAGGTGAAGCCTTTGCTTGCCTTTTGGTGACTAGAATTACACTGCTGAGTGCAAAAAGACACAGATGGGAAAAAGGAAAAATAAAGAAAACAAAAGTGTTTACAGAACAGAAAATATCCATACAAAGTATTTATAGAAGATAACAGTAAAGTAAACCATTTTTGCTACTGAAGTTTTAGTGTAAATTCTTTATCCAACACATTGACCAATTGTGTCCTTGCCATATCTGGGCAGCATAGCTGGTGGCTAGATTTACACCATTGGAAGTGCAAAATTACACCCATGAATGGTAAGACAGAGCACCATGCTCCATCAAACTAAATTCTAGAAGAACTCTTATGACTTGATAACCCTAGTCAAACTGAACTGCTGCTGCAACCAAACTCTTCATAAAATGCTGTTTAACATATACATCTAAACTAATTCCTTGAGTTAAAGAAGTCCTTAAATGAGATCTGATCTTTCTATACTGGATCATCTTATTTGAACTTCTTCTTGGTAATTCAATTTTGGTAGGTCAAAACAGCTCCTACATTATTGTTTGGGTCCCTATGCTGCTATTGTTCAATATCTATAGTTACTTCTGTTGTGCTAATCCTAATTGTTAATTGACCTTTGTTTTGTTGCCTTTAATGATTTATCATCACTCTGAATTGAGGATAATAATATGTTTGAGAACCTTGAGAGTTTCTCTTCTCTAGAATGAAGAAGAAAACAAATAAATTAGTTTGATCATTTCATGTCAGCATCTTTATTTTGTGCTTTTTTCCTGGTAAGTGACCAAGTCTACCCTGTTACCTTATTAACCTTGAGCATAGATATATGTTATGCACAGTGAGCCAAGAGTCCATTAGTTGTTTATTTTAATGAGGAAGGCAAAAGTCCATTAGTTTGTCTTCTTAAGTTTTTGACTGAATTTCTTCTTAAAGGGGTTGTACAACTAATATTTTAGTTGACCAAATTAGACCCAAATTGTAGGATGATATATGTCAAATGGCTAGAGTTAATCATGCTAAAAGCTTGACGGTCACAGTGGAGTGTTATGGCAAGAAGAATGACACCCCAACTTAGTCATAGAAGTAATCTATCCAGCAAGTCAAGGCAACAAAGTATAGAATGTCAGAATCTATTAGAGGTAGGATGGCACATGACTACAACCACTGGTGGCATGTGAAATCCTTTTAATGAAGAATGGAGAGGATTTAAAACTGTTAGAGAATAAAAACCTATTCGGGAGCTGTTCAACCTAAAAGCTTAAGCTGTCAGGTGAGGTCCCTGAATAGGTTTTTATTCTCTAACAAAAACATTTCAGAATCATATGGACAATCTCAAGATGTGAATGCAGAGTGATTTTCAGGTGGATTAAACTATTTCTTTTCATAGCTATGATCTATGGACATGGGAAGGAGTGGAACATATCAATACACAGAGGGTGTCAAATACAGTAAACCCCAAAAATCCAGAAGCATGGACATGGTTGTATATGTAAACATATACATACATGTCCAGACATGTATGCAAGTGTGTGATAGATGTGTCCAAAAGAAATAAATGTAGTGATCACAGCTGCAGATGACACTCTTTTATGTACATATTATAAGGTTATATAATAATTATTCACTAGAAGCATGAAAACAAAATGCAAGAATCACTTAAGTAACTGGTGTAGACCTTAATGCTCCAATGGAACCTTTGTTCCTTAAATACATCATACATCTGAAGTGCCATGCAAACTGCAACATGACATTCTTATAAACAAATGTGCATCTCCTACTAGTTGAACTTTAGAGTAATGATAAATTATCAAAGTCCCGGTGCCCTTGTATTGGATGTATACTCAATCCAATTGCGTCTTCCTTTTTTTTTTCTAGTATTTGTCTTTGGCCATTTGTGATCCAGCGACTCCTTGGGACATTATACCCTGAATTGCAAGTACAGTACTATTGTTCTGAAAAAAAAAATCCAATAGTGTAATTTCTGAGTTTTGTATTCTCTTTGAGTCATTCTTGTTCTGTGGATGGCACAATCTGTTGAGGTTTTGGTTTCATCACATTTCTTTAAGTTAGACCATCTGCTGGAGTGAGCATGCAAAATTTGTTTGCCTGATATATTCTATTCTAAAGTTGGGACTACATCCAAATCAAGGTGTTATTACTATCAGATTGAAAAGCCATTTGACCATCTCAACCTTAATAGGTATGGGTACCATTCAAGAATATGTAGATTTCTATTAGAATACAATTACTATTCTACTACTACATTTATCCATATTATTATTGTCTAGTAGTGATTGCTGATTTGTTAATGATCAAAAATATTATTCGGCCATATCTATTTACTTATTGTAACAACAACAGTTAGTTTATATAAAAAAGAATACCACAAATACAGAGAAGTGGTTTTCTTTCTTAAATATGAAAAGGTTCACATGCTAGCTGTTGGCAAGTGGTGTGCATTTGAGACCAGTGGTGATTTAGGAGATTCTTCTTTGATATTCAGTCATTGTTTAGCTCGAGACGTTGGTGTGCATTCTTTCTAAATTTCAACTTTTTATCTCATCTTAATGAGTAAAAAAAAAAAAAACACTTGCCAAACTTGTGGGTCATTTAGGCTGTTTGAGAAGAGTACAATGGACAAATGCCAGCACCATATAACGTCCAGTATTTTTGCACAAAGTGGTTGCTCAAAGTCTTGAACCCAAGTTCTCATTGCTTTTTGCTGGAGATTTTAGCATTAAACCAAGCGATTGGCCCCTGTTATAAGAGACAGACCATAGTAACAAAAACGTCCTGATGTAAGCATAAATGCACAAGGATGGGTTCTCAGGATGGCATTTACTGAAAAGTTTGTACAGTGTGTGGAATGCTAAAGGGGGCCTGCAAAATTTCCGTGTATCTTATCTTGTTGTGGAAGCTTTAGCCTAATATGCAGTGAGCCAGTGGCACTTAGAAATGTGGTAAAAAAGCTTATCCTGTCAAATTAAGAGCTGTCATTTGTAGGATAGGTTTCAGATGCATGCCCTGTTCAGTGGTTCACCTATCAGGTTGACAATATAAGTTGGCCATTCCATACCTTCAAATGAATCCAAAAGGGATCTTGTCTCAAGTTCTTTACTGTGTGTTCTATAGGAAGCATCCGCACTTGTATATAAATTTTTGCGTGCATGTTTAGATGCACATGAATACATATTTATACATGTAGATTTCCATCAGATTGATGGATAATCTGATGGAATCGCCCATGGTAAAAAGAGAGGAAAAGATGCAGTTATATGCTACTGTTAAAACTTGAAAAACTACCTTACAATTTGTCCAGCATTCACAACCCAGACTCAACCCTAGTGAAAATAAGAGAAGATTCAAGCAGAAAAGGGTATGTTGAATTGTTATTCACAATTAAGGATGATCTCCACCTGCAAGCGCTTCAACTACACTATGCAAACAAGAAAGCAAATCTTGCTGGATGATCTCCACCAACCAACTTGGAGGAGAATACAAACATTCGCCAGCCCCCTGACTTGCAGCAGCATGGTCCAGATTGGAAGTTTAGAATATATTACATTTTTTGATAATTAATTTAGTATACATGGTATAATATATTTTATATTATATAATATTTATAATATATGCATTATATAAATGAGATTCATATTTCATAGTATATATGTAATGCATATATAGTATATCTATGCATAAGAACATTATATATATATATATATATATATATAACAGCAGTCATCTTGACAAGAAACAAAAGATTCTCAATTTTAGTTTCCATAGAGGTAAATTGAATAATGGTCTTGTGCATATGTTCATATTCTGTTGTTTATGCATGTAAATCTAAGCTTACATCATTATAATGTTCTTGTTAGTGACCAATGTTAAATCAATTCTTCAAATTCTGAATGAGTGAATTCGTGGACATTATTCAGCTTTTTGCTTAGCTTATAGAGATGGATATTTTTTAGAACTGATTTGCTCCTGGTACTAAATCTTGTCTGCTTCCAATTGGTTTTAACTTTTAAGACACTGAAGTTATCCCACTTTCTTAAGTCATCATTTAAGCAAAAAACACATGAATGAGGGAAATGAATGTGCAGTTTATTGATTGTTGAGTGCATTATTTTAAAGTCATTATGTTGGATGCAGATCATGATGTTTCAGAGCCTGTTATTGAGTGGAAGATCAGATGTATATGATCAATACAGGGATTGGCGGCTTGATGTTGATAATATGACATATGAGGTATGATTTCGCCCTTCCATCTTGTCCCTACTATACTTGGTGTTTCTGTACCCTGCATTCAATGATACTGGTGCGGATCACTTTGTCTTCCCACTCGTGATTCTTTTGACTGGTGATACAAACAGGAGTTGCTTGAGCTAGGAGATAGAATTGGGTATGTGAACACTGGCTTGAGAGAAGATGAGATTTTTCGCTGCCTCAGGAAAATCAAGCATTCCTTTATGGATGATCTGCAATCACATATTCCCACGGAAACAGATAGGAAATGTAGCATTTGTCAAGTGCGTCACTATCTTTAATTCTTACTGTTTTTCCATCTCCTTCTTTTTGTGTGCTTATATAAAGATGTTGTTTGTATATGGTTCAGGAAGAATATGAAGCTGATGATGAGGTGGGGAAACTGGATTGTGGTCATGACTATCATGTATTTTGCATAAAGCAGTGGCTTCTGCAGAAGAACGCCTGCCCCGTCTGCAAGGCTGCTGTATCAGTTCAATACTAAGATTAGAGGACTTTCTTTGAGCTCATTATCACCACGGTTATTTCATCAGTGCCTTATTATCTCCTCTATTACTTTCTTGTACAGTTTTAATGCTCTGAAATAAGCAAGCATTCATTCTTTGTTGTGTAATTCCCCTACCTGTTTGCCTAATATAATATATTGGGTTTCTTTGGGAATCAAACAATTGAAAGTTTTTTGCTGTTGCTACAGTGCTATCTACTCTACCATTCCATGAGCAATATTTTTGCAAGCATTCATTCTTTTTCACTCCGGTGAAAAAGTTGCATGTTTGCTTATGATCAAATATCTCAAGCTAAAATGTCAAGGTTTTAGCTTGAGCAGTTGAGCTATTAACATCAGATTTATAGACCTAGTAAATGATCAGGATCAAGCATTTAATTGGTCCCACCTGGAAGATTATCTAGGCAAATTTTCGAATTAATCGGGTGGTTTCAGATGAATAATTTAATGTATCAATTTGAACGCTAGATAAATAATCTACCATTACCCTCAAAGCTTGTATGCAAATCGGATGGTCAAGAATCAACCATGCTGATTTTTAGTATAGATCACATTTTAGGCGAGTCCCACTAAACTAAATTGTCGGTCCTGATCACAGTAGAGTAATTTTACTACTAACGTTGAGCTAAAATTAAATACTTAGTCCCATCTAATAGATTATATGGATAATAAGTTGATGTGATGATTGCAGCTGAATAGTTTAATGTCATCATCCATTTGGACAGTGAAACTACACACTGAATCAGATAACTGAAAATAATCCAATCATATGATCATTTCTTGTTTCCGCCATATTGAATCTCTTGTATTTGACCATGGTGTATCTGATCATATGTGAATGTGCAAATCCGTGGTCTATGACTCGAGCTTCTTGCCAACTGTGCTCCAAATTTTGCCTCTGGTTCTCTAAAACTAATGTCCCTGGTTACAAATCCCAATACCTCTTGCCGTGAGAAGACAAGTCGGAAGTCGGAACAGGGGATTTGGTTGGTGGCATTATATTGCTGAATAATGCATAACGGCATACTTGTAATTTATGGGTCTATTCATTTCATGGCATAGAATGTAGAACTAACGTTCAAAACTTCAAAGCATGACGAAAAACCATGTTTTCCTGTTTGCTAATTTGTTATAAGAATTGTTAATTTTAATCTTATTAATTAGAGATTAAATCCAATGGGTTTTATCATGTGTTTGATATAACTTCCATTTATTAAATAAACGTTTATACTTGATTTGTCTTTAAAACTGAAAAAAGTACTTGATAAACTGTTTATGAACAACTAAGCGCTATTAGACACCACATCAGTGTAATAGTGAATAAACGCTCAACCATTGGGGGAAACATTAAAATGAAGCTTCCTCAATTATTGATGCACACATAAATCAAAACCCACTTTTGTGAATATTAATAGGTATGGATGAATATGATGGGAAAATGTTGATTTGGCGATAACATGACAGAGTTTTAATAAACACCTATCAGGCTATCACGAAACGTCCACGAAATAAAACACATACTGATTAATTACATGGAAATACACCTACACATTGGAAAATTACTAAACAAGTTTTGAGTTTTTAAATAGGAGTTTGTTTACACTCCATAGAATTATAAGAAAAGAGCATAAAGGCTTGAGGCGCACTTTGCTTGTGCCTGTGTGGTTCATGTGAGGTGGCATTTATTTTTTGGCGCAAAGCTGAATTATGACCATTGATATTTAAAAAAATCCAATAATGGCATTATTCAAAAGTTAATAATCATTAACTATTAACTAACTTTTAACAGTCACAAAGTTTGAAATTGTGAGCCTTTCTTGAATTCGCACCTTCCTCTTCAAAATGACTCCAAAAATTATACAAAGAATGTGAATCAAGCACATAAATACACAAAAAAATTTTTTCAAAAAATCACTCGTCTCTCTCAACCCTATTTGCTGTTCTCATAAAAGGTTTCTTCGAAGACTCTTCAACTTTGCTGGTTGTAAATTCTCACCCAATGTTCTGTTGTATCCTAGGAATGAATTTGCCTGTAACATAATAGCAAACTCAATAAAACTGAATGGGGCAAATTACATTATAAAGACCATATCTTTAGACATGCCTCAAAGCTTCTCCTCCAAGTTTCAATGACCCCAATTCCCAAAAAAAATTATCATTTCTTCTAAACACACCTTTTTACTAAGTCATTGGGTTCATTCTCTTCAAAAATCTTGGGTTACATAGATCCTCCATGAGGATTGAAACAACCAAAGATGGAACCAAGTAAAATATCTCTGTAAACTAGACCCATATTTCTGAGCAAATGTCACATTTAAAATAATTGATAGTTTGATACAACAGTGATCTAATACATGCCAGCACTTCCTTTTTTTGTATCGTTCCATGTACATAATAAACATGATCAGAATTTTGGATTCTCCATGCCAGTTCGAGTTGTTCATCTGACAGATTTTCTTTGCATGACAAGAGTATGATACAAAGTACTCTACATAGATGAAGTGTGGAGAGATGGGTAATAGACGATTATGTTTCCTGGGACGTGTGCTGGAAAATCATGTTACGTCATGACGACTTAGGAACTTAATTATGCAAGGATACACTTGTTCCACCGCCTGAGTGCAAGTAAATAAAGAAGGAAAGAAAACAACAAATGAGAACCACCATCCGATACTCGAAGAAGCAATACTAATTGAACAGAGCTTTGTCCTCCGTATATTATATGTAGTATATTCATGATGTCGAGTCAAAAGTCAAAACCTTTGAACTTAGGAGATGATTAAGGTACATACCAAACGCCCTCCCACCAAATCATAGTGCGCATAGTGAGGGCCACCTACTTGTCCAAGTCTTTTGTATGTAACCAAATGCTGAGGAATGATCATGGCAGTTTCTGCTCCACCAAGGCATCAAAGACAACAAGAACCAGGAAAAGAATAAAAAAAAATGCTTTTGTAAGGTTAGAGGCCATAAGGTAAGAGTATAGTTTATCTTTCAACTGTATGTCTATGACCTACCATAAACGGCTTCAGGTGGGCATATCAGGTCTTGGTCTCCAGCAAATGCCAAGACAGGGACGTTGCTTTTGTGTAGATGATCCTTGTAGAAGAAAGTGCCACTCCTGTCACGTAATCCACCCTCTTGGAAAGCTGTTGTTAGCTGCAAGAGAAGCTTAGCAGGTACAGTACCTGCCAATTGTGAACAAGTTAATAACTAGTATTGGAAAGAGGGATGGAGAGGTTAATTTAAACTTGTAAATTGTAAAAGAAGAGCTAATAATTCAATTCTAATACAAAAGTGGTTAACAAAGGAGATTTAGACACTAATGACGAGCATCATAGTAGGAAAACCTGATGAATGACCTGGCATTTTTTAAGCCTAAGACAGATTCGGGCAAGTTGGTGATGTTGACACCATGGGTCAGTACCTTCAATTAAAGGATAGTTTTTAGGAAAGTCTAGGATCCTGCATTTTCTCTATTCCCAAAAGAACTTTATTTCTCGGGTAACTCACCATGTTATTAGGGAATAACTTAACCTTATTCCCAACTATTGGGGAACTCATAGCACTATTAGTACAAATAAATATAATAAGGCTCACCATTTCTATGTTAAGTTTGCTCCATCTTTATTGAAATTGAATAAGGTAATAGCAATTGTTACTTACAATTACTATTGAATTTCTGATCAGAAACCTAAGGGTCCGAGTCTTGCCTTACACTCAGCACAGTTAGTCACCTGGTGAATTGGCTCAGGATGATTACTGAGCCAAGTAACTACAGATAGGGGAGAACATTGTATGGTGCAGTGGTTGCACAAATTCATTTATAGCAATGGCATCTTGCCTCTTCATTGCAATCTACGTATATAAATGTTAATAAATTAGAACTGTCTAAGCAATAGAATGTGCAATAACCAAAAAACAATTGGAACATTATGAACCCCCCCCCCCAGCAAACACAAGAAAAAGGAAAAGAAAAGAAAAAGGTGAAGAGCATGGTTCAAAGTATCGATATGCCCCTGTGTACTGGCAGGGGCGTATTGGTACTTAAAAATACATGCTCAATGGGTTTAATTTAGTTTCTTTTTCAAATTTTGATTTTTAAAGATGTTTTTAATGGTTTTTTTACTGAAATAAACCAGGGTTCCGAAACACCTGTAAATAGGTGTATCGATACTTTGAACCTTGGTGAAGAGACCAACTGTGCTATTATAACCTTAACTTGTCTAATCCTAATCGCCATTGCCAAGTTCTATGAAAAAGTTTTATCATTATTCTATTATGTTGTCTCTCTTTTCAGCTACCAATTTTAGCCTGGGATTTCAACAATAGATTTCACTGCACCATATCCAGTCAGAATTCATACCCTAAGCCTATATCAAACTATTAAGACGGACTAAGTGGTTACATGTACACTTGTGGTTCGTGGTAACACTGCAGAAATAAAATAAAAAAAAAAGAGTGAAATCTGACAAAAATCATGATACAGCAGAGTAGGATGTGGTACAGGCATACAATACCAATGATGCAGGACAAAAGCATGAAATCTGAAAAAAGCAAGAGAATTGAGTCTAAATGGGAATTTTATGTTTAATTTAAAGAAGAATGTATGTGAAGTGTAATTGTATCTAAATTGTTTTTTTTTTTTTCTTTTGAGTAAGTTTTCAGATAATAGGAGTTAACATTGACGTATTCATTCAAGAGAAAGAAGGGGATAATCCTGAAGGTGGTTAAGTCTCTTAGATGTAGTAGGACCTTAAACCCAGATAATATAATATAATTACAGGAATTACCAATGGTGATTTTCAACAATTATGCATATGTTCTGTTGTGCCAAAACATGTTTAAAATTGAGCCCTTGTTTGGTCTGGGCACCAAAAATCTAAGTATATCAACAACGCAAGAGACCCTCATAGGGGATAATACAATCAAAATTCATATGAACAGCCTGATTCAGTGACAATTTTAATATTTAAATGAATTTTCTTTATTTTTTTCTTTGTCCCACCTTCCTTTTTTTTTCATTTTGCTAAGTGGTAAAGAGTTTGTATTACTATAAAGAGGTGAAAAACCCTCAAAAACATATACAATTGTCGATGAGTATACAATTGTATGCTCCCACATCTTTTTACCACTTTTCTGGGGATGCCAATATAGGGTTCAATGCAACTGTTCTGAATTTAAAACAACTGGTCACATTCTCCCTTTTTTCTTCAATTATCCAGTCCAGTTTAAATGTGGTATCTATTCTTCATGTCCTATCACCTATTAAAACAAATCTAAATTTTAGCCTGCAGAACATATACAAACATAATGCACTAGCCTGAACGATCACTGAAGACATAATAGTCAAGGAAGGACAAGCATTTCTATACTTACAAAAATTGTTCAAGACAAGCTTTTCAAACAACTCAGGATGCATCATGTCCTCAGCTGATATCTGAGCATTAAGCCAAGACAGTACATAAGGAGGATGACAAGAAAGGGGATAAGCAGCTGCTAGCAATGCCCCCAGGGGAATAACAGGAACATTAAGAGCCTGAGCAGGATCTGCCTACACATCAAGGTGCACAAGCATTACGTTCTGATCCAGTGTTCAATGCTTAGTTGACTATCACAAAGAGCTGTTTAACACAATATGGTGCCTCATTCCACTTACAAGGGGCAAGAGTAATTTGAGTGATGATCTTGAAGGTGTGTAGTCGAGTGATGATGCCAAAGTAACAACTGCTGCCAATCCAGAGTCTCTTCTCTCAAATCCTTTTTAAGAAATAAAAATCCATAATGAAGTTGAGACAGAAACTGAAAATTCATAACCAAACATGACTAGTCATGGAACTGACTGCATCCATAACTAAATACTGGTCATTGCATTTAAAGTCTAACATACTAAAAGGAAAACATAGAGATGAATTGAAGTATCTCACCCCCAAAAAAATAAGCAAAAAAATTTTATCCAATTATAAATACCAACATGGGCCTGGAAAGCATGCATGAAAGTTAACTTTCCTCAAAAAATAAAGAAAAGAAAAGAAAATCAGTCTGGCACTTCAAATAACTGAAATAATCAAGAACAAACAACAATGCTACAAAAAAGTTGGTTGGAGAGGAAAAAAGACTGGGAAAAACCTTTCCCTTAAAACTGCACCACCATTCAGTAACTATAATAAAGAAATCAAAGCACATTGTGCCTAAAGAGTCTTATGGCACAGGAGAAGATGGCTAAAACCATTACTCAAAAGAAGAAAGCAACCAACTCTAAACCAATACCTCAAATAATTCCCGACCCACATCTGACACTTGACATAGACAAGTGTAATTTACAAACTATGAAAATTTGAAGTACCATCAACCTAGAAAACAATATCAAGAATTTACATAACTGAGCAGATTTATGAGAATTCCCCAAAACGAAATTTGTCTGAGGTTGGAAATTGTAACAATACTAGGAAACAAAGCGAAAACGGAAAATTTTCTTAATGAATTTTAAGAGATCTTGTGGGTTGTCTTAAGGAATTAAGCACAAAATACTGGAATTGTTGGTTCCTTAAAACATGCAGAAAGAGGCATTGGATCCAAATGGACAGGTAGGGAGTAATAAAAGTTTTGGCATATTGGTGTGTGCCTAGTTTGAGAAAGGTATATACAAGTTTCTCATTCCACTTCCAGCATATGATAGAATCTTTCAACAGCTGAACCATTCCATAAGGTAACTCAACCATGCCTTTTACATGTGTATATCATTTTGGCTGCACTATTCTTCTGATTTATTTTTTGATCCATAACTAAAAATTAATTTGTTAACAATGAAATGAAGAAATAGATACAATGCAAAAGAAATTAGGACATTTCAATCCTTACAAAAAAAACATGAAGCTCCCCCTTACTGCTTTCCTCAGACAAAATAATAAAAGACTAAGAAACTTTATTCTGATGGGTGTAATCGCCAAACTAGATTCGTATATTCACTCCTTCCCTAGCTAGAGAATTCCCAAACTATTCTTCCAGATTTTTCTTGACAAAAGTTGAATTTATTATCTAAAATGCTTGGCATGTTCCCATGTGAATATGCAACCAAGTATGACTTTGCTACACTATCATTGAAACATATAGTCAAATAAAACCCAGATTTAAGACATTTTACTTGTTACTAAGTTTCTAATAAAGATAAAAGGCTACAAAGAAAATGACACATCATTGGCATGGTATAACGATGAATTTGAGAAAGGATAAGCTTAGTATTCTCATTCATACATCTGTCTCCCCCTACGGCTGTATAAGGAAAACTGATGTGAAGATATCCAATCCAAAAAAGAACCTGGCGTGAAGATTCCATGTTTTATTGTTTGATTATACAAAGGAAAATAGTGGGGATGTCAGCCCCAAAAAGAAAGAGAGTACTCTTCTTTTTATCTAGATAGCTTGTGCCAGACAAGCCTTCCCCTTCTTTCTCACTTTTTATACCAAAATGGTGTGACCCCACTTCCCAAAAATTGAGAAATGCAACCCTACCTATTTCCAATCCCATCTCATAACATTCTCACAAACCAAACATGGGAAGAGAGGAGTATTCAATAATATTCCTTTTTATCCCTTTCCTTCCCACCAAAAAAAAAGCCCAAGGGCACCATATAGGTCGTGTGTGCAATGTGTGCAATCCTGGTCCCTCCAGATGCACTTTTAGAGATGAATCAATCCTAGGCTTATACTCAGGCCCCATTGGCACCATATAGGCCATGGAAATTTAACGAGGCAGAAATAATGAATGTACCTCAAGGAATGAGGCTATCAAGGCCCCTTGGCATTAAAAATTTGATTGCAGAAGGCGATTCATAAGTGGTGTTGGGTTGGCTAATAAATGACAACTTTGTCTCATAGAACTTCCAATCCATCATGAGGGAGATGATTTGTGAAAGGATACTATCTAGAGCTTTAAGTGGATAGCAAGAACTGCTAATGCAATGGTAGACAATCTAGCAAAGCAAGGAGTTAATAGACAGCAACTTTTTTGGGTAAAATGGGGCTTTTAATGTAAACCTAGTTAGGTAAATGAAGAAAAATATAGATGTTTTTTAGGAGGGTTTGCTTGCCTATATTTGGGGTGCTTGGCCCTTCTTGTAAACAGATATTCTTTTATCATTAATAATTCTTCTGTTATCCATCCAAAAAAAAATGTTTACTAAAGAGTTGGAGGTTTGAGTTCCACAAAACTTATTTTCAAGTCATTTTATTCATGCTATACAAATATACAATATCGGATTCTTTTTTAGTTTATTTTATTAATAACATATAATATTCTAATTATTTTGGATTAATATATTTATAGTATTCAGTATCTGAGTTCAATCCAAATCTGATCAAAATCCAATGGATAAGATTCAAATTGAATGCCAATGAATAGAATTTGGATCTAGCTATATGTTTGCAGCCTACAGTGATCTGAAAATGAGGAATAGGCATTTAGGGAGCAATAACAGGGAGTAATGAGGGGAAGACTGGAGGATCGCCACCAGATTCCTTTGAATAGAACTAAGGGAGACACCTTTGGGTTCCTTAACTACTAACATTCAAGAGTTGACACTAGCATTTGTATGTTGAACAGAGTAGGAGGATTTAATGGGACCAAACAAATTAACACTTGCTACTCATAACATATGTGGGGAAACTTTTTTAAAAACAATTTCTTCCAAAGATTGACAAACCTGACTAAGAATGTATTACTATTGGGAAATCACATCAACAGGACAAATATGGCATAGGACAATACTTACCTGATCGTGATAACATAGCATATAGCAAGATACCGCCCATGGAGTGACCAACTGCTAGTAATTTACCATCCTTTGATTTGCTTTGTGCCCTTACATACTCCATCTATATTGACAGAATAAAGCTCATTACATATTCATTATGTGGACAGTAGCAAGTAAAGTTGAACATCTATTTAGCATATAAAATTGGCAAAGCAAAAAGGAAAATTTCTCTTAAAGTTAATAGCTTCTAACACGAGGAGAAGTCACCTCACCGCTGTAGGAACATCTTCTTCCAAGTAGTTATCGAAGTCCCAATCAAATTTCACAATCAGGTCAAGCTGTTTCTGAAAATCTTCTATCATTGTCCAAAAACGCTCATGCAAGTCAAACAACTGTGGTGACACAGATCGTTGGCCTTCTCCAATAATGTTTACAAGTCTTTGACTCAAGTCCTTGATATGACTAGAAATAGCTGAGTTTTTCCTTGCTTCCAGTAAACCTGAAAGTTTTCCTCTGATCTCATTAAAGTGTTGAGATAATTGAGCATCTGCTAAAAGTTTGGATATTCGATCAAATAACTTAGCAAACATAGCCTTTGATAGACCTTCATTAAGAAAGCCTGAGAGTCTTTCTGACAAACGTGTAAAAGTTTCTGTCAACTTTTCCACCAGTTGTGAATCATCCCTGATAGTCTCCTTTCTGTTTCCTTTGATAGCAGTAATCTTAGAGTCTACCAAAACAATGGGATTAACAGTTCGGTCCTGTTCTGCAGGAAAAACATCACTTATCAGCACCTTTAGCTGCAGATTTTATCTGCTTAGACAATACATTGCTATTGGAAGACAGCTCAGTTTCCTTTGATTCCATACTCTGTTTGCTCAATCCAGCACCTCGAACTTCAAGAATCCAAGTATCAAATCCTTGGCTTGCCATGTAACGTGCAAATGAAGACTGCAGACAGTTCTTAGACATTACTAAGATGTTGAAAAAAATAAATGCAAAACTCTAGTTTTTTTTTCTTTCTTTTCTTATTGCATAGATAAAGAAAAATTTATACAATAACAAGATAAAAAGTGACTCAACTAAACAAATTAAAAATTCCACCTTGGAAGGATCAAATCTAAGAGAAGTATTGAACTATCAAGAACAACCAGACCAAGAAAACAACTATGTTATTCTAGCTCCCCCATCCTTCTATCCTTGGAATTAGGCACTGCTGACCAATTGCTACAACCCACAAAAATTCCCAATCATTCAGATTATAGACTCGGAAAAAGAGGCAAATGTCACCCCCCCCCCCGCCAAAATAATAATAATAACAATAACATCAATAAATGCAATATCTATACATCTACATATGCCATATTCAAAGGGTTCAACAGTCTCACACTATCAGATTTAACCACCTCAAATTAGAAGCCTTATTTATTAAATATGTTTGCTTCTCTCTAAAGCCTTTTGGACTCCTCCCAGACCTCCATAATAGTCTCCCAATACAGCTTTATTATAGCTCTTATTGGACAAATATTCAAACTTACCTTATAACCCTGTTCAAATCTACAGGGTGAAACTTCCCAAATCCCTTTACTCATCCAATAAAATGCCACTCTCCAACTTTGCAAGTTCTTCTACCACTACATCTAGTAAAATGAAAAGGAAAAAAAAAAAACAAAAAGATATTAAAGATAGCATGTTCTTCCTCAAGCAATTACTCATCCTTTGCATAGACAGATCTTAGATTTTATTGAGGAAAGGATTATCAACCAAAAGAAAAAAAAAAGAGGAAAGGATAAACATAAACATAAACATAGAAAACCGTACTTAAAGGGATCCGGGAATGGACAGTACACAGCATGAAACTGGCCCAAACAAATACAGAAAATAACACTACAATCAGCAAGTGGACTGCAACCCAGGGCCTGGGGTCCTCCATTCTAAAACAGACACATTTATCCCTTGTTTAGTTAAAGAGTCAGTCAAGTCATTGGTTCATCTAGTGGATACCTAGATACCTAGAGGCCAATGCCTTGGCTTCTCTGATGTAGTGTCTAAGAGGCAAGGCCGTTCATTTCTAGAAGAGAGTCACAAAACCCAATTGATTACCACTCCACAATCCCCCACAACATCCAGAGAAGACTATCCTGAAGAGACAGCAAGTTCATTCCTTGAAGGGAGAGAAATTCAGCACTCAGTGTGTCCTTCCCCAACTTACCCCTGAACAGGTGAATAGAGCAACAGCTGAATCTTTCTTTTTAAATAAGCAACACTCATTAAAAAACACCAATTGTTTTATTAAGGATGAAGAAGGATACCGCTGCACATTTGAAAAGGGTTGGAGAAACACCCAATTTGAAATGGTGAAAGTGCATTAATTTTTTTTTTAATGAGATTAAAAGAAGGTTAATTTTTTTCCAGGAAAAAAAAGCAATAATATTGTATAATCAACGGAATAAACTTACCTCAGGAGAGAGATCATATCCAATGGCATTAGTCCCCACCCCAGACAAAAGCAACAAGGGGTGATTTCTCGGAGGCGCCTATTGACGAACACAAACCGATAATTCCGGAATCAAAACAAAACTCGTACGAAAAAGCGAAACAGAAAATGTAAAGGAATCGAAGCGATGACAAGACTGACCTTGGGAGAAGGAATGTAGCGCCAGAGAGCGAGCTTCCACTCAGAGTTTGGGGTAGAGACGTAGTGAAGTTCGTCGGCCGTACATACGGACGGTTTGGTGGTCCTATGGGTGACCACCTCGCTTTCAACGGAAGAGAAAGCCTTTACTCTCGGCCCTAACCTCAACCTTAACGACTCCATACGAGTTGCATTTCCTCCATACACGGCGATGTGGGACTCAGGCTTCGAGCTCAAGGGAATCGGGTTAAGGTAACAGAAATTGGAGGCAATTTGCAGTACCGACTGGAGGTCCGACTGAACCATAGTCATTGATCCTCCCACCTTCCGACTTCCGTATTTCAAATTGCTCTTTTTATAATGATGAATGGAACTCGATGCAGTTGTAATGAAAGCTTGGGAGAGTTCAGACATGAACCACCATTTGGTTCATTACTTCATTTAATTGATCCTTATCCATTCCGCGTTGTTCTTGAACAAGAGAGAACTGAGGAAGTTGAGATCGACAAGCAATCCAACTTTGTCGGGTGGGCTTTAAAACCGATCAGCCACCCCCCGATTCCCGGACTGTCGTATAATCTAATTGAGTAATTTCTTTCTTTTTTGTAAACACATTGTTTAGTCAATGGTGGACCTGCATAATGATGTGACACTTTTAACCGTTGGATTGGCGTCGGATGAGATTCGGGCCAAAACAATGTTAAGTCGATTCCGATCTTACGTCAGAAATATGTTCCTTCGTCATGCATCAAAAGATCTATTTTAAACCAAAGAGAGCTTTGGAGTGTGGACGTTTGAAGCCTTGAAGGATGAAGACTCTAATCACTCTATACTTCTATTATTCTATAATCGAAATATTACACGTTTGTAATATTTTTGTGACATTTGATTTGACTGCTTTTTATTTGGTTATATTGACAAAATATAACTTTTTGTGATACTTCAGCAACGGGGCGGGGCGGGATCCCCATCTCCATTTCTAGAGGATCCCCGTTCCTCTCGTAATTTTTTATAATATTAATAACTTTATTTTATTTAAAAAACAAAAAATAAAATAATTAAAATTTACAATCTATTAAAAAAATTCAAACATATTTAATTATATTTTTAAAACATTAATATATAGACGTATTTGTACATATATAACGTATATATACATATATACTAGTGGAGATCCTACGAGCAGGGAGTGTTCTCCTCGTCCCCGCCCCGTCCCCACTAACGGGGATGAAAATTTCTTCATCCCCGCCCCAATGGGGAGAAATCATTTTCATTCTCACTCCATTCGAGGTGATTTCCACGGAAATCAAAAAAATGGAAAAAATTACCATCCCTACACCTTATATTTGCATATAATGACAAATAACCCCTCTCGTCAGCATTTGTCAATACAACATGTAACCCACTTGCTTGTAACATGCACTGTTGTTGCTCGACATTTTTAAGACCATTTGACTTTGACATTAATAAAAGAGATATTTGTGATCATAATCTTCCAACCAAAGAGCAGCTGCACCATTAAAATTGGTCCATCAAGATCAGTCCATAATTCCTAAACTACCAAAGTTATGTGGGATGATCAAGGCTATAAAAAGTAGTACATTTAGGTGGTCTCTTGATATCAAGGCTATTAATCCTTGGTAAATCAAGATCCATGTATACGAGAGTTTGCCGGTGCCAACCAACCCTTCTCCTTCATCCACGCTGGTCTCTGCAATGCAAATTTCTCAACCATCCAAATGGTATATTAAAATTCAACTAGTACATTCTATTTAAAAAATGTATCGATACAAAAATCTAGAGTAAAATGGTCTCTCAAATATTGATTAATCAATCTAGGCTATTCAAATGATGCATCAAGATTTCAAGTAATCTTACCCTTCTAGTTAATGCACCAAAATTTTTACAAGTTCTAAACCAAGTGAAAGTGATCTGCCTAGAGTAATGAATTAATCTCTCTAATTGGCATACTAATGTGTCAAACCAAGCATCCAAATTATGTACCAACATTTCAATTAATCTCGATCGTTCAAGTAAAGCACCAAGTTTTCTAGAAAATCAAAGCCAAGTAAAGTGATGCACAAAATAACAAGATTAAGATCTGGGCCATCAAAATGTCCTAAGATTGATCGATAAATCTCGACCATCAAAGTGATGTATCAACATTTCAACTAACCTATGCCATCCAATGGTGACTGTCTGACCCATGGATTCCTTCCAGATAAAATTGTCTAAAGCAAAAGAAAGTTTGTCAATCTGATGATTACAACTGGATATTAAAGTTGATTTTTTTTTTTTTTAACTTTATCTCTGGATTTAAGCACTCTCGGCAATCAAATATCCATGGACGGTGCAAAAGTGGAAAAGATCAAGACAAGTATGCAAAGATTGGTTATCAAGGAACATGAATTCCTCTATAAATCCGTTTATAATCCTCCTAGGCTCTTGATAACTTGACGAGTGAAAGAATGCGTTGCGCAATCTCGACAGCAGCCTCAGGGCGTGCAATCTTCATAGCCTTCTCAGACATCTCTACCATTTGACTTGCATTTCCTGCCAGACATTATTAAAAGACTATGTAAGATTTCAACGTAGAAAGGGCACATATATTAAAAAGTACTTCAGCCCAGGGTCAGAATTTTTAGGCCCAAAGTACACTTGGGGTGGGTGCCAATTCACGGGCAGGTATTGGTGTATAGAATGGGGGGGTTTTTGACATTTTGAATGTTTATAGATATGCAGTGGAATTTAGAAATCTGCATTGGGTATGTCCGTACTTTTCCCGTATTTTAAACCTTCCTGATGTGGCATATAGAAATCTCAAACTAGCAGTAATATGACTAGATTCATTCTCATAAACAGGGCTGCTCATAGCTGGTTATGTCTACCCCACTGACCTAAAATAAATCTAAAACCAACAACTGAAATGTTTGAATTGTTTGACCTCAACATTTCACGTTGGACTGGCCAATCAGTGGGAAATAATTTTCCTATTGTTTCTTCTTAGTTAAACAAAACTGCATCACCATTTCTTCTTCTCATGGAAAATAGATTTGTTTATTTTTTGCAAGCTTTGAGACCAAAACATGTTAAACAATGACAAAAAACAACATTCTAGAAAAGTTTACTTTAAAACATGAAAACAATAATAAGGGGAAAAAATACATTAGCATGTTTAGACCTGGCTACTTTAGGGTTTACTTGCATTTTCTGCTTCATAAAGATATACTTCTCTCCAGAGACAAAGCAGCAGTCTCTTTTTTCTGATTTTCTGACTAAGACCAAATCCATCAGTTTTTTTTAAGTTGTAATCAAAACTTTTGTCAAGGCTACTCTGCTACTTTTAATTTGGAACTTTACCATTTAAGGCCATTCAATTTACAGACCTTCATGGAAGTATTCCAAATTCCTAATACATACAACTCCTTTTCTGAATTAAACTTGCAATTCTGAAAATAGAAATAAAAAAGGTGGTAGCTGGTTTTAAAAGATTTCAAGCTGAAGAACTGGCTACAGTAAGAGATCCCAACCACTAAAAGAGGCAGACACTACAAAACTCAAAGAAAAAGAAAAGGTTAGCAACGTTTCAACTTAAGAAGCTTGCTCATTTTGAACAGATATATTCACATCATAAAGCTTATAGAAGAAAAAGGATGACAACAATACAACATTTTTCCAATTAATTTGCTAACAAGTAGAAAAAGCTGCAACATCATCACAAGATTAAAAGTAGGTAACCCACAGCCACTAGATGAGGCAATAGGATTGAGGAAGCTATTTTAGCTACCACTAGTGGAACTGGAAATGTGACTGGAATAGAATATGAAATGAAGTAGAAATAATATGTCAAAATTTCTTATTTTCAATAGAAACTTCTATTTTTATTAAATTCAGCCTTTAGTTTTATTCTCTAGATAGGTTGCCTACTGGAAATGTAGATTCAGGAAAAAAATACTTAAACTGTCTTATAGATTTATAGTAAATTTGTTCACCAATGAGGAACATGAAACTTTATTAGAGTATACTTCGATGTATTTATGATTTATTTACCCATAACATAACCATGAGCATGCCCATCTTATTCATAAGGCCCCATTCGTTTTTCGAGAAATAGGAGGGGGGAAAGTGATTCCCATTGACCAACATTACAGTGTTACTTGTATACTTTTTCTTCTAATGAATGTACACTTTACCATCGAATACATGCATATGTACACATGTACGTACATAAATATGCACACACATACATTACAACCATGCATAAATAGAGTATTTTATGTAGGAAAAGCATATAAATGAATAAATGATCAAATAAACAAAAGAATTGAAAACGTTAGGGGGTTTAGACAGAGCCATCACAATATTAGGAATCATTTAATAACTATGACAAAGCTCTAAATATTATATAATACCTCACAATGGCTTTAAATATAGTAAATCATAGATATAAGCACATAAACACATATACACAAAGGCATCTCAAGGTGTGAGGAACGTGCTTTATGATTTGAAGCAACTCAGCAAGCAATGCTTCTATTCTATTACTCAGAGCATCCATCATTATCAGAAATAATTATCAAAGAAAATTAATATTGATTAGAGAGAGAGAGAGAGAAGCTCAGAGAAAGGGATCAAACTCAACAGTAAAGTCCAACCTACTAAAAAGGCCAGAAAATTTTACATACCTAGGATCTCTTCAATTGCAATTCTAAGAGTAGTGGAATCAAGTTCATCTTCTGTTATAACCTTTGAGCCTGCTAAATCTGCCATAATGAAGGCATTTTTTGTTTGATGTCCTTCAGCGACATTTGGGGATGGTATCTACAACATTTGAAAGGAAGGCCAATTATTTCATTAAGCAATACAATGAATACAATTAAATTATAAAAGACAACTTAAAATGACAACAAAAACACCTAGAAAGTAAATATCAGCACACAATGTGAAAATATTATGTTACTATATATGAAAATAGAACAACAATGACTGGTCAATTCAGTTTCATTACTTCAAGCAAAAATCATTGCTTTGGAGAAAAAAATTAGTATATTTTTTATTGCACATCTTGTTGGTCTTTCACATGATTATATTAAGAATGAAGAGAAGAGGAGGGCAGACCGGCAGAGAGATATCCCTCACTGCATAAATACAGGAATACCTGTAAAACGAATACATATTAAATGCATTAAGCATAATTGATGTGCATAAGTCAGACACAGTGGTTTACTTTGAAGCTTTGAGCCCCATCAGTTGCCTTAAATCCTTAACCTTCTTTTCTTAACAGTTGTTTCATCAAGAACCTATCCACTATTTTTCTCCTTTAAGTGTTAAGAATCTACCTGCATATTCATTAGAATCAGCTCAACAAAGAGGTCAAAACTGCTGGCAGCTTCTGATGTAGAAACATAGATGTTTAGTGCTTCTCATGGCATATGTAACACCAAAGGTTAGTAATTAGTAGTTTAGTACCAACACTTATAGGACATTGCATAAGCAGGTTTATAAACCAATTGGGTCAGGTGGTCAGCACATATCTGGATGCAATCTGCTACCCCAGATTGTAGAAGAGACCAAAGCATAATTTGATGAGCAGCTTGTCAGGCAACTCCATGCCTGCTGGTGTTGGTAGGATTCTGACCAGATCTGAGGGGAGCCTATCAAGGGTCTTTAGTGGCACAGTTGGGGATGCTACCTCTAATACAAGTGCTGGCCCTTCTCACTAACGCCCATACTGCAAACATGTTCAATCCCTCCTCTCTCTACTTAAGGGGATTTGGCATTTTGGCTAAAGTTATCGGATGGAGTGGCAGATATAGGTAGTGTCCTTGGAAGCTGGCAGAGGCAGACTACCTTAATGAAATCAAAGACATCTTGTTACCCCTGTCTTTCAAAATGAGGTGGACTCCTATAGTGATACAAGATTGCAGCTGGCTTGCTAGATTGGGTGAAGGGGTTTCTTGTAAATTGATAGCTCTATGATTTATGTTGTTGAGGGATGTTTCTCTTGTTTTCTTTTATCTGTTGTACCTCCTCTAACATACATGTCATTTTGCATGATAAGAAACAAATGGTTATATTTCCCTCAAAAACGTATAAGCCTTTCCACTGTCTCTGTGTAGCAGGCACAATTACATTGACCCAGATCTTAGCAATTACATTTGGGGGTTAAAAATATGGCTGCCCAACCACATGTTGAAAGGACAATTGTAAAAGTATCATTTTTATCATCATCATTATTTTATTTTGCAATTTGAGATTTTGAAACAAGCATTTCTTCAATGAGGAATCAGGAACTGAAATTTTGGAAATTAGATGCAATTTCTTTAGAATACTCAATTAGCTTTGCTTTATATCCAACTGACCTTCTACATACCTTACAAGGTTCTCCAACATAATAAACATGTACAAGATAAGAAGATAGTTCAAAGTTTGTAGGTTTCCTTTTCATCGATTCCTTTGTAGAGGTCTAAGTATGAAACAAAGCACCTCTTATAGGATGCTTTAAAATAAAAATAGAAATTTCTTTCCAAATTCTCAATTCACAATTTGTTAAATGCCACTCATGATTTTCCTGCAAAAACTATAGATTCTGCTAAAAATGCACAAGAGAAAGAAAAATATTAAGATCCAAATGCAGGTCTACCAGGATAGAAGGTTTCCCAGTGGCCACAATCTCAGAGCAAGTCATTGCACCAGCACGAGACACAACAAGATCTGCAGCAGCATATGCCCAATCCATTTTATGCAAGAACCTTCAATTACAAAATGAAATTCAGATTAAAAAAAAAAACATAACACTGAATAAACAATTCCAATACAATTATTTTTTTTTATCAGAAACGATAACTTTCATTAGAGATAAATTAAACTGAAATACAGAATTCAACCCTTATCAGAAAAGGTTGATCCAATAAACATCAAACATTACAGCACTACCCGATAAAGACTCTCCCTTACAGTCCCTTGTTTTGCTAGGGCGTCAGCAAAACCATTGCTGATCTCCTTACCCACTT